AGGGAGGGAGGGAGGGAGGGAGGGAGGGAAGGATGAGTTGGGATCGTGTTTGGGTTAGTGGATGGGTGTGGATGGATGGAGAGATGGATGGAGAGCATGAATGAATGAGTACATGAATGAGCGGACGAACAGGATTGGAAGGATGAATGAATGAATAGCAACGAAAATCCAGGATTATACAAAATTTGGTAAATGAACAAATAAATATTTATTTTTAAATCAACAAAAAAGTTAATCAAACGACACGAAAAAAATATGCTGTACCTTAAAGTTATTGAATTATCACTCTGAATGAGTGTCTTACAAGTAATAAACTTTATTTGATCACTATTGCAATGAATCGAAGAAATAAATATAGGTTAAGTACCTCTGGGTTAAAGAAACCTACATCTCGTTTATCAACAGGTTCATGATAGATTAATGAAATCTTTTGGCACAAAAATCGTGTCACCCTCGGGCCTCTTCGGGCCAGGAAACAATTACACAAAAGAATATATAAAGCTAATATAAGGGAGTTTCAAGACCTTAGGAGAGATTAACCCATAAATAAGTCTAAAGTACTGTTAAAGATTCAAATTGAATAGGATCCGATAGAACACAACTGAATGAAGACTTGAATGGTATACTGTTTAGATAAAGGATTGGTAATTCTATCTTGTGAATATCATAAATACAAAAATATAATCTTGCTTACGGTGGTTATCTGAACTCTGATACCCTGTACACTCAGTCCTGTTTGCACAAAATATTCTGAAATTGCTTCGTTTTTCTGCAAAATTATTTATCTTGCTAAACTTTGGATACAAGTAACTGAGCCACTATGATCTAACTGGCGTTATTTTGCATAGGCCCTGTCCTTCAAATGGTTAGAAGGTCCAGAAATTCTCCATCAACTCACCTTTATGAATTTGTCAGTGATAAAAAAATCTAACGACATACATAGAATAGAATATAGAGCGTATGGCCTACTCATTGTGATGATGACTTCACCGTTTGAAAACTTTTATATTTTTCTTTACTGAAAATTCTTAGCCTATTATAGTCAAATATATAGAATGGTTCCCGAAGTGTTGAAGTAACGAAATATTCATTTCTAACCGGCTTTATTCGAAGTCAAAACTTTTTACTTTATTTTCTCTCTCAAGTTTTATATCTCACTAATAAATCTCTTACTCCCCAGCACAAGACCAGGCGATGACGTCAAAACCCTAACGCTTGCCATATAAGGAATGAAAGGTGAGGTAGCTGCCATATATGGACCGTGGGTATCACAAAGTTATCTGGTCGTCCCGTAAATCTCTCTCAAGACCATAGATAGCCTTTTATTGCCCAATGAATACAAGGTTAGATAAAATCCCTGGGGGTCTAACACTAGAGATATGTACCCCAGGATCTCATGCCAAGAGTGTTTACATAGCAAGTTTAAATTAAATTTTTAAATTATAAAAGGGACGGATGATAGTGAGATAACGTGGAAATCGGATTTTCTGATGATTGCATTTAAATTTCACAAAGTTTTATTTTATCTTTTTCGTGATGAGTGTTTTAACTGTATGATTGGTCGGCGTCATGGAAAGAAGTGATGCTAAACAGACCACACTCTAACCGTTCGCTTTACATCAAGAGTATTGTTCTGTGATCAATATAGAGTTTATATTCGTTTAATCCTATGTATTCAAGGTTTAATGGATTCTTTATCTTTAAGGTGCGTTGGCAGTGTTTCCCACGGCTTGTTCTCTGCCTTCCGTCAATCATATCCGGGTAATGGACTTAAGAGTTTTATCAGAGGGAGTATAAGCATGCATTCCTATGGGGAGTGATGGAGGTTTTGATGCAGGAGCCAGGGTTTACCTGAAGAGAAACGGCTGCAGACCTGATGAACGTTTGAGATAGATGTGACGTAGCTGTTCGTTGGTTTCACATTCGCATCAAAGCAGATGTTGATTAAGTTAGAGATAGTGTTAATGCTTTCTTTTCTTTTTTGTTCCTTCCTTTCTTCCTTTCTTCTTCCTTCCTTCCTTCCTTTCTTTTTCTTTCTTTCTTTTCTTTCTTTCCTTTTTTCTGTTTCTTTCTTTCTCTTCACCCCCACACAAGTGCAAAAACAAAATTATTTTCGCTTGTTTGTTAAGGAAGGAAGTAAATATAGGTGGACAAATATTGTGCAAAATTTAAGATATCAATTTTAACCGACCTGTTCATTGAGCAATTCACGTCTAATGTTATGAAGCAAATGTCATAGTCAGCTTCGGTGCACCTTAGGCTAGTAGCAAAACTCTCGTATTTGTAAAGTTAACTAGTCTCCTAAAGGACAAGTCGAATAAAGAGTGGTACTCCAGGCGATCCCGGAGCTATTTCAGCCCAACTCTAACACTAATACGACTTGACTGATCGAAGAATTCGAGTTCCCCCTGTAACATTGTGCCCTCACCGATTAAGAATCGGCTAATTAATCAAAAGTTATTGCCTTGATAATGCATAAAAAGAAGACAAAACGACAACCGACGAACGGTTATTAAATACCCTTTCAGGAGTCGAAACTACTTCAAAACTGAGCGGCTAGGAAACGCAATCGGTAGAATTATTGCCGATTTTAAGATATCTGGAGAGCTGATAGCGATCAAGTAGTTCATTAGCTAGCTTAGTATCCTGAACTGAAATGATTCGGATACTTGGACGTGTTTATCTCGAGAATAAGGGCTAATACTGAAAAGGTCGTATACTTGCGTGCAAAAGAGTTATTGTGTGTGTTTGTTTGCATGAAAAGTAATAATCAGACTAATTTTCACTGACACAAATATAGAAATATCGAAAACTTGTTTCGTAAATGGGGATCAAGGGTGGAGTAGCGGTAGAGGACTCGCCCCTCACATCTGTAGGGTATAGGTTTCATGGACTCGCCCCTCACATCTGTAGGGTATAGGGTTCATGGACTCGCCCCTCACATCTGTAGGGTATAGGGTTCATGGGCTCGCCCCTTACACACACACACACACACACCCTACAGATGTAAGGGGCGAGTCCATGAACCCTATACCCTACWGATGTGAGGGGTGAGTCCATGAACCCTATACCCTACAGATGTGTCTGTGTATGTGTGTGTGTGTGTGTATGTGTGTATGTGTGTGTGTGTGTGCGTATGTCTGTGTATGTGTGTGTGTGTCGATGTGTGGCTGGAGGATGAGACGGAGATTGAAGGGAATATAATTTTGCCCAAATGCCTTATCACAAATCAAAAGGGACATTTGTACACGTGTGCGTAACAGCGAAGKAGTGAGCGTTAACCGAGGGGGGAGGGAAGGGGATATGCACCGAGGTGGAGGGAGAGTGGACATCAATCTGTTTTGCTCGTAGAAAATACTGCGCAAGTTGAAATTAAAACCAGCTTGAGTTATGCAGCGCTCAATTATGAACATAAAAAACGTTCTGTCATAATATATTAACAATAAATCAACTTCCGAAGTCTAATTCGATCTATCGGCTGCCTTGTAATTGGGTCCTAGACCAATCTCGTACCCAGAGCCTGCGTTTCTTCTGGCCTGCGTTGAAAAACGAGGGCTCTGGCATAATCCATTTTTTGAGACCAGGATTTCTTGGACTTCCGGTATGACAGCGCACGCGTTCAAACACTTGCCAAAAATTTAAAATATCCCCCCCCCCCCCGATTCTTAATTTGTACTATGATTTTTACTATGATTTTTACTTCGATTTAATTTCGACTTTGCTTATTTTGACCGTTTATATCTCACTTTCCGAAAATTGCGCATGCGCCAAAAAATGGATTATGCCAGAGCCCTCGTTCTTCGCCGCAGGCCAGAAGAAACGCAGGCTCTGGGTACGAGATTGGGTCCTAGACCTGTAAGGCTTTTTGTCCACCTCAGAGTGGTAATGTTGGATAAATAACATCAAAAGAGTAAACTTTACTTGAGTAAAAAAAACAATGACAGTCTTCACTGCTTAAGTGATTCTATTTTTCAACTTATGCTTGACTCACCATTCTTTGAGACCCTCTTAAATCAATTTACTTAAAATAGAAACTTACGTCTCCGTTAGTAGCCGTTACTTAGCAACCATTGATCTATAAATAGTTGCAATTCCTCTGGGAGTTGTAGGCCAATCTTCAAGTCGTTTCTATGATGAAAGCTGAAACTAATAAGAAACAAAATATTGAGGTCAACTTACGAACCTAAAAGTCTTGCTTTTCTGTCTTGTGTTACGGGCTTCCCGTATAGGAAAGCTTTGGTATGTCCAAGCTTCTAACTCACTTAAAGAAATGATTTTAGAGAGGATCTTTGACAGAGGCTCTTGGCTTCCCCTGAATGGAATATCGTTGTAGCAAAGCGTCTAGAGAGCACGGTTTTTAGTGAACTACGGCCGGGAATCTTTTACCCAGTATGGCTGTAAACAGGACGACACAGCGACCGAACACATGCTGTACGTCTACAGGAGCCACCAGCAAGTAAGTTAGAGACATTTGTTCTTTTGATTGGTGTTAATTTTCACGTTAGCGTTTGTTTGCTCTTTTAATGGACGATTTTTTTTAGATATGAATAAAGTTGATAATTCTGTATATCATCAAAAGAATGAAATTCCGAGCGGAATAACTCATTCAAAGATGCCATTCAAAGATGTGTGTTATGACTAGAGTGTCTCTCTTTTCATAAAGCTTTTTCTTAAAATCGGAGTGGGTAATTTGAAACACATAGTGATATGAAAGTACAAAGGTAACGCTGTCAATTATTGTGCAACAAAGCTAATCTAAGTCATTTCCCAAGCGCAGACCACAAAGTAACGATTTCATCGGGAGGTTTAAGTTACGGCTTACGACACAGCAGCTAAAACCCCCACTGCCTGACTTCTAAGTTGAAAGGTTGAATCATATTAATAGGATAGAACACAAACTACCGTGTTTTAGTGATTAAAAGTAAATATCTCTCTCGATGGCATAGTTGACCCGTACTGTTCAAAAATATCCAAATTTATTCTGCTTCTTCAGTTCTTTCTTTTGAAAACTTTCTGGATAATCTCCTGCTTAAGAGGATATATTTTTGGTCTTTCCTTTTTGCTCTTGTACGCGAGGACAAAGTATTTTCTTCAAAAATTATACCAAAACAAACAATGTACACAAAAGGTTGGATTGTAAGACTAAAATTACAACCGTCGTTTTATAAAGCGTCGCGCTCTTTTTAGAAATTATGCTAAATTTGCTTTTTTAAAATCCTTATGAATCCATATTCTAAATATGGTTTCCTATTTAAAGAACGTCTCAGTTATTCAATAAAAATATTAAAACACTTAGTATTTACAGGCTTTGCGCGTAGGATTATAGAATCATGTTCTTGAATGACTTGAGCCCAACTACACACGAATTCTTGATACGACTATTAGTCTTTTGTTTGTTGTTGTTTAATCCATAATTATTTAACAAAGAATTACAGATTAAGTACCTTGGAAACGTTATTTATTTAGATCAAGCAGTATTTTGTAAAATGACAATGATTTCACAGGGCTGGATTTGTAAATAATCTTATTCTTAGATGGGGAGATTTAACGAATCTTGGTGACAAAAATCTGCAGTTTTTGAGATGTGATCACGTGACATTGTGATACTTTTTGATCTAAGTGTTGTTAGAAAGATTAAAAATGTTGGTAAGCTGGGGCGAATGAAAAATGAATGAGGTTGAATGAAAATTTTAAACTCTAAAGAAGAAAAAATGTATTTACCCTTTCTTGAGCTGGATAATGATGTTTTTAATAAGTTATTCCTTAAAAATACAAAACGTGAGTTTATTTCGGCTTTTACTCTTACTTTTTTTTACGATGGGAAGCCATTTCAATGTTACGACACGTCGTACCACGTACGGGCTTAAATCATTGCCGTACGTTTCTAACTGTATACGAAAAGCATTCTTATGGCCAGCCATTTCAATGTAACGGCATAAGATGTGGTACCGTGTATGTAGTGTAAGTCAGTACCGTACGTTTTCCACTCATACGAAAACTATTCTTATGGGAAGCCATTTCAATGTATTTGCATATCGTACCGTGTGTGTACTGTAAGTCAGTACCGTACGTTTCCCACTCATACGAAAACCATTCTTATGGGAAGCCATTTGAATGCTATGGCATATCATGTGGTACCGTATACGTACTGCCTAAATCAGTACCGTATGTTTCCCACTCTCGTACAAAAACCGCTCTACCCTCCAAGCCATCTGTCCTTTTTGACATATTGCATAGATTTTACCCAATCATAGTGTGTCGCAGTCGAAAATCTTGACCCAATCTATAAAAACGTCTGCTAATGTCCAATTCTATGTAAATACGTCAGATTCGAGAAGCGAGGAAATACTCTTAATGCGCGTATGAACTTGTGCGTACACTTTCGTCAAAGCTAGACAAATAATCTTGAGCAAAGCCCATTAATGGACGATCAGTTGTGGCAGGTTAATCAGTCCTTTGATGAAATCTGTCGGTGGATTTCTAAATACAAGACCTAAAATGTCTCAGGTAAAATCATCACACACAGGTCGGTAATTAAGATTGGAGTTGGATCTGACAATGGAGTATTTGCCCTAAAATGTCTCAGGGTTCCAAATTACTCAAGAATTTCGACAAAACGCCTTATACATTATTCTTCTTGAAGTTAGGCCAAAGACTTCTTAGGTAAGAATAATCCAGATGCTACTATTTTAAAAAACAGATCAGATAAACTGTCGTTAAAAAAGTACTCAGAAATAGTTGAATTTGGATATGAGTATCAGCTCTAGTCGAAAAAGGAAAACTAGGAAAACAATATAAAATTCTTCCTAAAAAGTCGAAATATGAAATTTCTGGTTTGAAAAGATTTAAGGTAATTATCTTTAAAATGAAATTTGATTGATTTTAAATTCATCACGGACAAGCATTTTTTAACATGTAAAAAAATTTTGTATATACATGGAAAGGCGTGACCACGCACAAACACAACAACGACAACAACAACA